AGACTCTCCTCTACACCCAAAAGCCAGTTACACAGTCTTCTCCATTTGACACAGAACGTTCTCTAGGAGAGAAAACATACTGGGAAACAAAACAAGTGTCCATAAAATCATGACGATAGAAATCATCAAGTTTCTTTTCAGAACGCAATGCTAATCAGGTAGATATTAACCACTAAAAAGGATTTAAACCCTAGGAAAATCCAAAAGCTTGGAGAGTAAAGTCATACTAAATAACTACTGTTTCAAAGAGGAAATCAAGGAGAAAATCAGTCATGAAAAGGAGAGCAAAAACCAAAGTTATCGGAGTTTGTGTAACACAGAGAAAGCAGTACTAGAAGTTCATACCAACACAGATTATATCAAGAATCAAACAAAGCTTAAATAAATTACCATCTTAAGCAGCTGAAGAAACTAGGAAAAGGACAACAGATAAAACCCAACATATGGAATGAAGGAAGTAATTAAAATTAAAGTGGAAATAAATGATACAGAAATTTGGAGAAAATGATGCTGAACTTAAGAAATCGGTAGAGAAGATCAAGGAAAGAAGAACTAGTTTTTCAAAAGAATAATCAGAATTGATAAACCCTTAGGTAGACTCACAAAGATAAAACTGATAAATTAGATACAACGTACCTCAAAAATACAAAAGAGCCCCCATGCAAGATGTCCGTCGGTGCAGCCCAAGCATTGTGGCCCTGCGCTTGGCCACCCACACCCCCTACCATCAAATCTATGCCAGTGGTAGCCAGGAAACTGCTTCCTGCCCCTTGAGTATCAGGCAATTCCCTGGTGTAATATCCAATGTCACCAGCAAATCTTTGCAATTCGTGTTCAGTTCTATTTGAAAGTAAACTCTGAAAACTTAAAAAAAAAAAAAAAAAAAAAAGAGGGGCCAGAGCGGCAGGTAGGGTATTTTGCACATGGCCAACCCAAGTTAGATCCCAGGCACTGCATTTAGTCTCCCCTGATCACCAAGAGTGATCCCTGAATGTAAGTGAGGAATAAACTGTACCACCCAGGAATATGCTCTGAGCACTGTGGGGTGTGTCCCAAAAACAATACAAAGGATGGGCTGGAGGGGTACTATAGCAGTAGTGTGTTTGTTTGCCTTGCAAGTGCACCAACTTGGGTTCAATCTCCAGCATCCCATAGTGTCCCTCAAGCACTAGCAGGTGTTATTCTTGATTGCAGACCCAGGAGTAAGTCCTGAGCAATGCCAGGTGTGACTCCAAATCTTAAAGAGAGAGAGAGAGAGAGAGAGAGAGAGAGAGAGAGAGAGAGAGAGAGAGAGAGAGAGAAGCTATTGATATAATTCAGCACAGAGCACATGACTTGCATGTGAAAAATCCTGGGTTAATTCCCTGGCATTGCAGAAAACTAAAATAATTATACAAACTATTACTTTGAATAACTATACCACTAAGATGGAGAATCTAGAAGAAATAGATTAATTTTCAAAATCATACTACTTCCCAAGACTTAATTAGGAGAAAATTTAAAAAACTGAAAAGGGAAATGACTGGTAGGGAAATTGAAATAGCACTCAAAGAACTCCAATATGAAAGCTTGAATCCAAATGAGTTTACTAGTAACTTCTCTCAAATCTTCAACTAGAATTTATTACCAGTCCTTCTCAAGCCCTTGCAGAAAATTTAAGGAATATAATTCTTTTCTAACCATTTCTATGAGATTAATATTATCCCAATACCAAAAGTAGACAAAAACATTTCTAAAATAGAAAACTACAGATTAGTATCCTTGATGAACATAGAGAGATCCTTAACGAAACCTTAGCCATATCTAGTAGTACATACACCATGATCAAGTGGGATTCAACCAAAGGATCCATGCATGGTTCAATTCATACAAATCAATTAATATAATACATCTTGTCAATGGAAGGAAAATAATTAACTTACAATTAATTTTGCTTGCTTCAGCAGCACATATACTAAAAACTTAAAATTAAACTAATAGAGAGAAAAGTTCTGGCTTTTTTTGTCTTGTTTTGGGTTTGAGGGCCACACGCAGCAGTACTCAGCATTTACTCCTTGCTCTGAGCTCAGGGATTATATCTGGCTGGGCTCAAGGGACCATGTAGGGTGCCAGGGATTGAACCTGGGTCATCCACAGGCAAAGCATGAGCCCTTCCTGCTATACTATCTCTCCAACCACATCAGAAAGTGTTCTTGATAATATTCCACATCCACTTATGATTAAAAAAAAACACTTAGCAGAGTGGGGATAGAGAGAGCTTACCTCAATATAGTAAAGGCCATATACAAAGTCCCACATTTCAGAGGTGAAAACTGAAGGCCTTTCCTCTTGTACATACAAGGCAAGGACATACACTCTTCACCAATATTATTCAACATGCTATTGAGTTGAAAGTTTTAGGTGTAGTAGTTAGGCAAGAAAAAGGAACTAGAGGGATTCAAATTGGAAAATAAGTTGAATTCTCATTGTTTGCAGATTACATGACATACACATAAAAAGAAACCCTAAAGCTCCACCAACAAACAAATTTAGATTCACAGTAAACAAATGCAGTAAAGGGGCAGACTATGAAATCAAAGCAACACACACATATTTTTGCAAACAGCAAACTAAAATAGAAAATATTTTTAAATCCCATTTACACTTATGTCCAAAAAACTTTCATAAGAAACAAAGTAACAAAAGGTTAAAAAGATGCACTGAAAGAAATAGAAATAAACTATTTTAAGAAAAAGAAAAGGACATAAGGAAATGAAAAAATATTTCATGTTTATGGCTGCAAGAATTAACATTGTTAAAAGTGACCACTAAACATTAACAAAACATTAAATGGTATTTGTCAGAGACATACAGCAACTAATATTAAAATCTGCACATAAAATCTGCACATAAATAAAACTATTCAACTAGCCAAGGCAATGTAATAAAGAGAAACATTGATTTGTTGTCCTTAAATTATACTATAAAGCTGTAGTAGTCAAAGCAGTGTGGTAAGATCAAACTCTCTGCTCAATGGAACAGAATTGAGAGACCAGAAGTAAACCTACTGTGTATAAGACAGGTAACTTATAACAAAGGAACTAGATGCATTGAGAGAGGAAAAAGTCTTTTCAACAAATGGTGATTGAAAAACTAGTTAACAAACTGCATACCCAAAACTTCTTTTAAAATGAATTAAAGATCTTGGTATTGGACCCAAATCCTTAAAATAATCAAGGAAAGCATAGGCAGAGCTCTCCATGACACTGATTTCAGAAGTATCTTAATGACTTGACTCCATTGACAAAACGACAGCAAAAATTAATGAGACTGCATCAAAATAAAACATTTCTGCACTTTGAAAGAATTACAGCTAAAATTAAAGAACACCCTCCAGAATGGGGAAAAAATATTACCATATATGTGATAAAGGTATGCTATTCAAGATATGGAAAACATTTGCAAACCCAACAAAACAAAAACAAAAGAATAACCTATCAGAAAGATGGGAAGAGTACTGAAAAGACACATCTAAAGAACTTGTACAGATGGACAACAGACTTGTGAAAAGGTGTTCATCATTACTGGCTATTAGGGAATTGCAAGTCAAAATGACTGTGCAATATCACTTCATACCAGTGAGAATGCCATACACCAAAGACTGTGCACATTGGGATGCTGTGGTAAAGGAACCCTTTCACTGTTGATGGGACTGTCGCCTGGTACAGCCTTGGTGGCAAACAGTATAGAGATGTCTCAATTAAAAACAGAACTCCCTGTAAACTAGAGATTCCACTCCTTAGCATCTATCCTAACACAAAGATGTTAATTTGAAAAAATAAATGCATACTTGTGCTCATTGCAGCATCTGGAAACGACTCAAGCTCCCAGAAACAGATGAGCAGGTAAATAAATTGTGATATATACCTGAGAGTCTGCCATTAGAACTGAGTTTGCTGAGTAGGGGCCATCCAGGATGAGTCGTGTTTTTCAACCAAAGGCCATTTGAATGTTCACAGGGAGCAAACTGGTAGAACAAGGGGATCACTGGAAGGACACAGAGTTCAAGGGGGGCCGTGATTAGGAAAGGGCAGAGAAACCTTTCCCTAGAGTGAGTGATGGACGGATGCAACTGGTGCTTGTGAGTGTGATAGAATAACCCTGTATTTCTGAAACATTAGTATTAACACTATTATAAATCACAATAGCTTTTTTAAAAAAAATTTTGGTGTATATATACAGTGGTACATATACTACTCTGTTGTTAAAAGAAATGAAATCTTGTCTTTTGTTATGACTTGGATGGAACTAGAGTTGTCAAGTTAAATGAAACAGGTCAGAAGAAAAGGACAAATAACTAGTGATATCACTCTTATAAAGGAGCACAGCAAGAAAATGAATAGTGTTCAATAAAAATGAACCTTTGGACTATGACAACAGAACTGAGATTACATAGGTAGCAGCGGGGGAGGAGGATAGAGAGTTAGGAATGAGTTGGACTAGAAAGGGCTGAGGTGGAGCCTTTGGAAACGTCAGTGTGGTTGTACACCAAAAACTATTTTTTATGATAAAAATGATTTTTTATGTTTATAATGGTTATAAATATAACATTATAATCTATGTTATCATAATAACACTATTATAATCCATAACCATTAATGCTGTTATAATTCACATTCATATGATTTTATAATATAGATATTTTTTACTTAAAACAAATTTAAATGGGTTGTCATTATAGTTGTAGATTCAAGAACATTAGCCCGGGAGGAGATCTTGGGGATCAGATTTAACCCTCTTTTTTGTTGATTTTGGATGAGATCTCAGGCCTAAGGACCAATCTTTTTTGTCAGTACATGAAAACTCTGCTTAATTTTTCAAACCGTTCATTGAACTTTGCACTTTACATGTTTGACCTGCTCTAATTTATTTTGCTCCTAATATAAGAGCTCATGTATTTAAAATGTTCACTTTCATATGCATTTATGCAAAACTTCAGTAATTTCTGTTTTTTTCTCTAGGTAAATTGCAAAAAGAAGGTGCATTATCAAGAGCCTCTGATGAAAGCCTCAATAAAGTTCAGGAAGTTGAGTCCCCAGTGTTTAAGGAACTACCCGGTGCCAAGGGGAGCGATGACAGCTCCGTCCCTCTAACGGGGGCAGCCGGGGAGGCCTTGGGGCCCGCAGAAGGCACCTCAGGAAACCACCCTCGGGCCTCCTACGGTGAGTCCACCTTCTGGTGAGGGTCTCTGAATGGAAAGGGGATGCCCATCCAGGCCTGGGGGTGGGGACTCAGTTTCAGGGCATGCAGAGTGGCCCTGCTCATCTTTTAATTAAAGAAAATATGGACACCAAAAGGCCCAGCAGATAACTTCGATTGTCTCAAGGCTTACTCTAGCTCTGCAGCTTTTCTCTGATGCCTTTCATCATAGTCTGCCTGCTTGGTGCTGGGTGCACGAGCTGTCCCCATGTGCTGCATGTTATATAGCAGCTAGCTGGCGACCGGAGGTGGGTTTCTTCGAAGAATGCTAGCTGCATGCAAAGTAAAAGCTAAAATTGGAACTCAGGAGTCGCCCTATTGTGGAACTGCAGAGACTTCAGAAAACGTGCAGAGCATGCTGTAGTGCCTGCAGTGTACAAATGGACACAGTTTGTCCATAATGTTTGCAGAGAGTGAGAAGCATCAGCCTTTGCCCAGTCTGCTCAGGAACCTTCCTGACTTCCTTTCCCTGCAAGGTGACACCCTGGTAGCCTTTTTCTAAGGCATGGTCTTGAAATTGGCCCTCGAAAAGCAAATTAATATTGCCTTTGTGACCTGACAAGCATGATCAGCCTTTCTAAGGAGCACTTAGAGTGTCTGCCTCACTGGGAACTAAGTTACACCTCTCTCACGTCACTGTCCTCTTCCTGTAAGGAGTGACTTATAGAAAGTGCTTTAGGAGTTTCCAAAAGGTAGTTTCATAGAGAGCTTAAGCAGCATATGTTCAAAAGGCCACATTATTGGATTATCCTTTCGTTTGTGTGTACATTTCCTTTTTTAAAAAAGTAGCTGTACCACGTGGCCTTGAGAGGCCATTTAGACCACAGAGCATGTGGTGGGTCGGGTCCCTGGCTGTCTGAGTGGGCATAAGGCTGCTTCTGACCCTTCCAGGAAGGGCGCTTTCCATGACCCATGGCTCCGTCAAGTCACCCATCTCCAATGGCACATTCGGCTTCGACAGCCACACTCGGAGTGACGGGCATGTGTACCACACCGTGCACAAAGACTCGGGGCTCTACAAAGACCTGCTGCACAGGATCCACACCGACCGGGGCCCCGAGCCCATGCCCGAGAGCAGTGCCCGGCTGCTGCGGCGCAACAACAGCTACACCTGCTACACCGCTGCCATCTGCGGGCTCCCGGTGCATGGCGCCTGCCGGACCCCCGATGCGGCTGCCGAGGACAGCGAGAAGCTGGTGGCCGACACCGTCTCCTACTCCAAGAAGAGACTCCGCTATGACAGCTACTCCAGCTACTGCAACGCCGTGGCCGAGGCCGAGATCGAGGCCGAAGAGGGGGGCGTGGAGATGAAGCTGGCCTCTGAGCCCTCAGACCCCGAGCGGCCGCGCGAGGACCCCACGGAGGAGGAGAAGGAGGAGAAAGACACTGCCGAGGTCCACCTCCTGTTCCATTTCCTGCAAGTCCTGACAGCCTGCTTCGGATCCTTCGCTCATGGAGGCAATGATGTGAGGTAAGCAGGTTCATATCTTCAGCCAGCGCTTTGTATGCCCAGCCCTGTGCTGCCGTGGAGCTCAGAAAGCCCTGTCCATAGGGGATGGCAGGGCCGCTGGGCGCAGACAAGGAGTAGCGGAACAGTGTGCAGAGTGGCAGTCAGAGACCAATGTGAAAGGTCCGTGTGGTGCCAGCTGGTTGGCTGAGAGCCCCAGAGAGGATCCCCAGAAGAGGGCAGGGCACGAACCCGAGTGAGGGGCTTGTCATAAGACTTCTCAGATGGAGCAACCTTCAGTTACTGCTGTTACCTTTCCTTCCTTCAGACCTCTTGTTTCTGTCCTAGTCCAGACAACGTGTTGTTGTGGCGTTTGGTACCACCAGGTGCCTAGGCTGTCCGTTTGATGGCTGAGTTTTCAGGCACTGTCTGTCCACATGGTACTATGTTTCTATACTCAGGAGAAGGAAAACCTGCCCACTAGGCAAGAGCCTGAGCATCTTACTGTGCTCAGTAGGACCTGACGGATTCCTTGTTCCTTTATTCGCAGACCAGGTCTGGTCCTGTTCAGTCCTTTCTTGAAATGTCTGGAGTACCATACCCCTAGCCCACTTACTTATTAAGAATTCTTTATTGAAGCCTACTATTGAACTTTGTACTTTATATACTATTGGCAAATATTATTAGCTGGGTCTCTTCTAAATTCTAGTTAGAGAGCTAAAAAAATCTCTCTCTCTCTTTCTCTCTCTCTCTCTCTCTCTCTCTGTCTCTGTCTCTCTCATCTTTTGGGTGTTGTGGTTGCAGTAGAGGTATTAAGTGGCCATTATGTTCGGTCTATAGTCTACTTTCAGTCCACATCTCCCATCCCGAGCGGGCCCTCCTAGCACTCTTCATTTGGTGGCCCCTTCTCTACCTGAGCTGCCTTTTCCCCCAGCATGCAAGGATGCGAGGATGGCTTCTAAGCTGTGGAGTAATCCTCCTGGTATTTATCTCTACTGGTCTTGGGTGTTAGTCTTCCATTCTCTGACTATATATTCCACAAATGAGTGCAATCTTTCTATGTCTTCCTCTCTTTCTGACTCACAGAAGTGAAACTTTTCTTGTTCGGGATTACACAGCTAGAAAAAAGCAACCTGGGGACCAGCACTTTGTACCTCTGCACCCACTCACAGTGTCTAGAGGGTAGTGTGGGCAGGAGGAGACCAGCCACAGAGCCATGCAGACCTGTGTGGTTCTGTGCATATTCCATCCCAGCAGGTCAAAAACGCTGGAGATCCAGTCGATGACTCTTAGATATATAAGGGAGGAAGACACAGGTCACACCACCATCCTCAGGACTGAAGAGTCAGACAAATTCAGGGAGATATGGAGGAAGTTACTCTGGAGTGGAAACTACCAATGCCAGGTAGAGATTCTGAGTCACATTAGCAAATGCCAGAATCTCCGTGTCAAGATGAAGGACCTAGCGGTAGGGTCACAAAATTGTAAGTTTTTACCTCTTGAATCTCTACCAGATCGTCATAGTGAATATTGAAGAAATATATACCATTTCTTCCTCATTTCTATCCCTAATGGATAACATAGAGAGTTTGTAAGAAAAGATGACTAATGTAAGCAAAGAGATGGAAATCCTAAGGAATAACCATAGGCAAACACTAGAGATAAAAAGTACTGTAACAGAAATGAGAACACCTTTGATGGTTTCACTGGTGGATTAGACATGCCAAGCCATAGGACATTTTGATACAATTCTTGAAAACAGAAAGAAAACTCAGCTTGGAAAACTGTAGAATGGACTATTCAAGGACAGTGGCATAATCACAAAAGGTATAACATAATGAAAATAACAGAAGGAGATAAAGAAAAAGAAACAGATTGACAGAACATTCCTAAATTAATATTAGACTACTAACCACAGATCCAAAGAGTTATGGAATACCAAGTGTGAGAACTTCCTGCTCTCTCTCTCACACACACACACACACACACATACACACGCATGCACGCACACACATAAAATACACACACATGTACACATACATAACATAATGTAGGTGTAAGCATAGCACTTTTTAACTGCAGAAAATCAAATCTAAAGAAAAATCCTGAAAACAGGGGTGGGGGGGAGTCACTTTACCTATTAAAGAAAAAAGTCCAAATTATACTCAGCATCCTAGAAACCATACAATCCAAAGGGTACTGAAGTGGAATATTTAAAACCTTGAGACAAAATTCACCAACATAAACTTTTTACCTGTGAAATTATCCTTTAAAAGTAGAGAAACAAGGTGGAGTTCATGACCAATTAAATCAGCCTAATCAGTGGCTGAATAAATAGCAGTACTCCTACATTAAAAAAAAAAAAGTAGAGGAGGTATGGTGCCGCTAGCAGGTCAATCTGTACCTGTGAGGCAAGTGCATCTGCAGCCTGATGGCGCCTTAGACTTCCAGATACCCCAAAATTGCTGCTATGCCTTTGGCCAGACCCCAAAAACTTGGGGCAAAGTTTACCAAGAAAGTAAATGGCCAAAAGTTAGGTATGTGGGAAACAGCCACAAACCACCTCCAGCTCAGCTATATAATTGGAGGCATGTCCTCTCTGGTTCCTGATTGAACTGCTTAACGGCCATGATCCCAGAGACTCAGAAACAAATCTCGAAACCCAAAGGCTTTTGGCAGAAATGCGTCCAGTCCCTGCAGTAGGTTACCGATGCCGGGCCAACCCAGGTGGGAAAGGGTGCTGTTCCTCCACCTGCTCCCCCTTGGTGACTCGGTGGCCGCCATCCTCCAGAGGCCACTGGACAGTCAGGTTTGGGCCCACAGTGTCAAAACTTGTTGGACCTCACGGGATGGGGGTGGAGCCGGTCCTGTCCTCCCCACCCCAATGAGACCCCAAATCATCACCCACGAACAGCCTCTCTGGCTCCTGATCAAGCTGCTTAACAGCCATGATCCAGGAGATTCCGAAACAAATCTTGAAACCCAGTGGCTTTTGGCAGAAATGTGTCCGGACCACGCAGTAGGTTACTGTCGCCAGGCCACCCCAGAGGGGAAAGGGTGTTGTCCCTCCACCTTCTCCTGATTGAGACGGCTTAGTGGCCACCATCCTCCAGAGGTCACTGGACAGTCATGTTTGGGCCCACAGTGACCCGCGGGGCCTCGTGGGATGGGGGTGCAGCCAGCCCTTTCCTCCCCGTCCCAACGAGACCCCGAGTTGCCGCCCATGAACGGCCTTTCTGACTCCTGATCAAGCTGCTTAACGACTATGATCCCAGAGACTCAGGAGCAAATCTCAGAACCCAGCAGGGTTTGGCAGAAATCCCTCGATTTAAGTGTTAAAATTTTGGAATTTCAAAATCGTGTGGCCACTACTGCAGCCACGCGACATCATATGTTATTCATAACCAGCAATAGAAAACAAATTGTCTACGGTTGCCTTTTCAGCACATCTAAGTGTTGGGGTAAAATCTCAAATAATAGTGGTGGGTCTGGTGTCAAAATATTGAATGTTATCAAAGTAGGGAGAGAGTAATGTGGAAATCATCTGCCCCACAGGCAGGGGAAGGGTTTGGGATGGGGGTATACTTGGGTTGTTGGGGGTGGAGAATGGGCACTGGTGAATGTACGGGTGTTTCATTGTATGACTGAGACTTAGACCCGAAAGCTTTGTAACTGCTCTTATGGTGATTCAATAAATAAAATTATAAAAAATGAAAAAAATAAAAACTATCAAGCAAAAAAAAAAAGTGGGGAGAAACAAGACCCTTTCCATTTTGAAACAGGCAAAATAAAGGAAAGTTGTTGCCAATAAACCTGCCTCCCAAGAAAGATTAAAAGAAGCTTTTTACAGAGAATGAAAATAATGTAGGTTGGACAGAAATTCAATTCCACATAGTTTTTTAAAAAAGTATCAAAGAAGGACTAAGTGATGGTATAAAAACAGCCTTTTTTCAGTGCCAGAAATAAAACCTAATGCTTCACTTATGCAAAACAAATGTTCTATCACTGAGTCACATCCAAACTATTCTTATTCTTAATTGTTGTAACATAACGCTCAAAATATTCAATTATGTGTTTATGTGCATACTGCAAGTACATATGAATGTGTGAAATAGTAGTAAAATGCCTTTTCTCAGACCACAATAGAATTAAATTCCATGAGAGTGTGTATATGCATGTGTATGTGTGACTGCAGTGATACAGAGGATGATGGTTGGAGAAATTGGGATTGGGATTAAATTTTAAGGTGCCCACACTACCTGTGAAGTGGTACATGTAATTTGAGAGTGGACTTGTATTATAATTTCACATTGTAAACTCTTGGACTATCATTAAAAAGAAAAGTTTAAGAAAATATATTCTACTGAATGGGAGGAAGTAGTCAAGCACCATCCATCTGCCAAAGAGCTGATAGCTAAACTGTATAGATGTTCACAAAACAATAAAAACCAGCCTCATCAGAAAGGGGGTGAGAAGAAAGTACCTGCAAGACATACCTGCTGGCCAACAGGCACATTTGAAAAATGCGCATCACTGCTGATTATCAGGGAAATCAAAATAAACAAAGCTTATAAACAGCCTCAGACCTGTGAGAATGGCCTGCATCAAAGAGGTCAGAAACAGCGAGTGCTGGAAGGAATGGATGGGGAAGGGTCAAGCATTCACTGTCAGCCTCTTGAAAACATACAAAGATTCCCCCCAAATAAAAAACAGACCCCAGAGATGTGTGCTTCCCCCACCATGCCCCCTTCCCTCTCTGGAACTCCATCTCCACCCCTTGTGTTTAATTAAAATATCCTTTTAGAAAAATATTAGAACTACCATATGATCCCGCAATTCCACCCCTTGGTATCCCAAGAATACAAAAACACTAATTTGAAAAGATAGTACACACACTATCTTATAGCGGTGCTGTTTATAACAGCCAAGATCCGGAAACACTTGTGAACAGCAGCAGGTGAACAGGGGTGACCCCATAGGCACAGTCAGGTCTGGGCTACTGCAGATGTTCTCTCACCTTTTGCTCCAACATGAATGGAAGCAAGAGGGATCCCGGGAACCAGAATGAGAGCGTGAGTCAGCCAGGTGGAGGTAGCTCGGAGCAGTGCTACCTTGCAGGGGTGACCCCAAGAGTCCCATTCCTTGCACAGTGCCACCACCCAATATGACCAATGTGATCATCACAGTACCAGTTCTGCTTGTGACCCCTGTGTCCTGTCACAATCAAGTGAGTGTCAGGACCACATCTGAAAGTGCGTGATCCCAGGGAGCACTACTGCTGAGCCAAGTACACAGACATGGCCACTGTGACAAGTAGAAGGAAAGTGCTGGAGACACAGGGACAAAGACAGAGACCCAGGGAATCTTCGATGTGGCTTTTAAAAAATCAATGTCTAATGAGAGCTAACTCCTGGACTCTGACTGTGGAACTGGTGCTACAAGGGAGAAAGTGAGGAGTGTTCTGAAAGGGTCTGTGGGCAGTGAAGGAGTGTTGGCACTGTAGCACTGCCTGGTGTGATACTGTAGCCCTCTTACAGAACAGTATTACCTTCACTGTATCAGTATCATCCCATTGTTCGTGGATTTACTCAAGCAGGCACCAGTAACATCTCTATTCATCCCAGCCCTGAGATTTTAGCAGCCTCTCCTTACTCACCTTTCCCAACAATTGGAGGCTCTTTCAGGGTCAGGGGAATGAGACCTATTATAGTTACTGGTTTTGGCATATCGAAAACGCCATGGGGAGCTTTCCAGGCTCTGCCCAGGGCAGGATATTCTCGGTAGCTTGCCGGGCTCTCTGAGAGGCATATATATACATATATAGGATTTGTTGCCTACTGTCTGAACTCCATCAAACATGGTGTGGTAATTCTGGAAAATGGGTAGGAAATGTCTTATGATGTGTGGAAACTATCGAGCTCATTCGTCAACGTGGTTTGGCGCTAGCCTCGGGTAATCACAAGCTAAAGTCTGAGCTTGCAAAGCTGTGCAGAGAAGCGATAAAGGAGGACCTCAAAGAAAGCAGAGCAGCAGTGTTGGCCGATGCAGCAGAAGCTAGGAAAAGTATTCACAGTGCTCACCTGTTCTTCGCCAACTACAAGACCAAGATGACTGCCCTCTGATGTTTTGATGGATCTATCACATCTTCCAGAAGGGTAATGGAGAAGATTATCCATGACTTCTACTTGGATCTCTTTGATAGACACGTTCACCTGCCCACATACCAAATTCCACAGGATGGATGTGTCATTCCCAACATTCTCCCTTCTGAAATCTGACACACGATTTCATCAGTAAAGATGCATACAGCACCTATTCCAGACGAGGTCAGACCCGAACACTTGAAGAATCTGCTGCCAGTATTCATCAATACACTGGTTCGGCTCTTCACATACTACCTGTCTGAATGCAAGGTTCCATACCAGTAGAAAACTAGCAGGACCTTTCTGTTGTACAAGAAGGGAGACATCCACAACATCGGCAACTATCACCCAATCTGCCTGTTGCCTGTCGTCTACAAGTTGTTTACTCGAGTCATCCTGAGTAGAATAGGCAGTGTTGGGATCGGGAGTTCCCTAGCCCTGGGAGGCGCGGAGAGACCAGATAGACACAATTCCTGCAGGAGTAAAAACGGGGTTTATTTAGACCAGCATGCTGGGGCTCCGCAGCATACCCCAAAAATGGGCAGTGGCTGAGAGCCCCGAACTTCTTCAAAGGGGATCTTATATAGGCCTTCACTGGCCATTACAGCAAAGCCCGCGCATTTCATAGCCAATAGATTTGTAACAACATACACTTTCTTAACCAATCCATTTAAAAGTACCTCACTCCTTAGCCTATAGATTCAAAGATCAGCATTTACGTACATCGATTGTCAGCACAAGCAAGGTTATAGCTGGAATCATTAAGCCTTAGGTAATCTCCCTTGACCATCCTCGTTTTGAGTTACCCAAGTCTGCAGGGTGCTTTAGTGAGACAATACATTCCAGGAAAGGGCAATTTCCCCCAACCACCCGCATCCTGAGTGATGCATTGGCCGGGATTCAGCATGATCAACCATATCCACATGGTGACCAAGCTCATTGAGGTTTTATGAGAGTTCAAGATGCCGCTCTGTCTAATGTTCATAGATTTAAAGAAGGCCTTTGATTCTGTTGAGACTGAAGCAGTCATTGAAGCCCTAGCCAAACAGGGCTCAATACATCAGGATCCTCCAAGAGCAGTATTACAAATTCATCACCAGGATCTCACCATTCTACAAGAAAGTGATCATTCATGACAAGAGAGGGGTTCCGCAGGGTGATACCATTTCACTGAAACTCTTCAGTGCCACCCTCGAGAACATCATGTGATGACTGGAATGGGAAGGAATGGGAGTGAAGATAGACAGTTGGCAACTACAACATCTCTGCTTCACTGATGACATTGTTCTAATAACACCGAACATTAGCCAAGTGGCACAAATGCTGGCCGACTTCGACTGTGAGTGTAGAAAGGTCAGACTGTAGCAGAATCTCACCAAGACTATGTTCATGAAAAACAAACTAGTCCCTGATGTTCCATTTGCTCTCAGTGAAACGAACATCTCCAAATGCAGCAGTGTTACCTTTTAAAAAAAATTTTAAATTTTTTTATTTTAGTAGGCTGAAAAACCACAAAGTCATATTAATATATTTTTAAAAATCCAACCTAGATTCATGATTTTAAATACCACTTTCAGGATATAACCCTCAGTAGTCCCCAGTGTAGCCCAGATCAACCTCTCCCTTAAAAAAATTAATTAAACATGAGTGGAATTTCCTTATCTTGATTAAGAATAACTATAAGGAATCTTTTCCTAACACCAAATGATGTTAGTGATAAGAAAATCAAATTTTCCCTCTTAGGTTTGAGGAGCAAAGCAAGGATGGCCCATTTCCCCACTTTTCTTCAAGACTGTACTGGAAGTTCTAACTAATGCCACAAGATGAAAAGGGGAATATTTGTATTATTTATTTACTGTGCTCTCTGAAGTTGTTGATAATAGAGTGTCTGGCATTCATTCAGTGTTCCCTCTCCAAACCCATCCCCAGGATCAGTGTACTTCCTCCAGTGACCCAACTCCCTCCCTCTCTATACCTTGCCACCTAAGCAAACTTTTTTTAAATTTTCTTACTATATCTTTAGTCAGATGCTTACACTAGTACTGACTCTTACAGTTTTTATATGCATAATTTCCTCATCTCCACATCACTAAAAGGTATGTAGATTAGGATAGAAGAAGGAAAAAGAAACCAAACTTTACTTGCCAATGATAGAAATAAAAAATTGGGGGAAAGTTCCTAGAATTAGAAAATGATTATAGCAGAGTTGCAGGATACAAGTTTAGGGGGAAAAAAAGCAAAGGCTTTCCTACAGAACCTGTAATGAACAGGCATAATTGAAATTCAAAACCTAATACAGGAGCCAGAAAGATGGTCAGGACTTAAAGCATTTGCTTACATGTTGCCAATTCCAGTTTGATTCCTGATACTACAAGGTCCCTCAGCACCTCTGAAAGTGCCCTCCCCCCCCACATCCAAGCTATATATTTGGGAAACTACAAAACTATAGTTAAATCAAAGAACTATTAAATGAAGAACTATTAGATATACAATTTTTCCATGTTTGGGGATACACTGACTCAATAAGGTTAAAATGTCAATTTATCCCATTTTGATTTATAGATTCAATGCAATTTGAGTCATAATGGCAGCCAACTATTTCGTTGTTTGTAACAAATTGATTCTAAAATTTATATGCCTAACATTACATGTCTGATAAAGTATCCCAATCATTAAATACTGTGGTATCCCAGTCATTAAATAATGCCTAGGCATATAGTATAATAATTCATAGACCTTCTTTGATTAGAATGAAGTTACCCCTCACTAAACCCACTGTAAGTCTAAAATATTCCTAGCTTGAAAATACACTTGATTAACTTAATCCACTGAACATCACAGCCGGGAAAGGCTTTTTAAAAGCCAAAATACACTTTCTGCTAAATGCCTGTTGCTGTTGCATCATTGTAAAGTTGGAACCATCCAAGTCGGAAGCTGTCCATGCACATTTGACCAACCAATGTTTTCTTTCCCTCCCAGCAATGCCATCGGTCCCCTGGTAGCTCTGTGGCTGATCTATGAGCATGGTGCTGTGCTGCAGGAGGCCGTCACTCCCGTCTGGCTGCTCTTCTATGGAGGAGTTGGGATCTGTACAGGTCTCTGGGTCTGGGGCAGAAGAGTCATCCAGACCATGGGGAAAGACCTCACTCCCATCACTCCATCAAGGTAAGCTGAAAGAGGGCAGGAAAATTACTGCAGGCCTGTTCTGGGGGGCAACTTAGTTAGATTGGATGTCTGTAGAAAATCATCAGGAACAATTGATAAACCACAATGCTTATATAAAGTGAAAGGGGAAACAAAAAAGTGCAAAACGGATGGGCAGGCTTGTCCCCCAGGCTCACAGCAGTGCGGAGCAGGCAAGCTGGCAAGTTCGCTCCAGCCACTGCCCTCCTGCCAACACCTGCAGCTGGGCTCCAGTAAGGAGAGGGGCCAAGGACTGGCCAGACCCCTCCCTGTGCCTACCCTGCATTACCCTTCCTCAGGCCTTCTGTGTCCCTGCCCACAGTGGCACTGAGGAGCAGAGAAAATGAGAGTGATGGGCAGATTCAGAGAAGTAAGAAGCTGACTCAGAGGGAGAGAGAAACCCCCCTGAGCCCAGCCCTCCCTGCCAGGGTTGGTCCAACCCAAGGTCTACCAGGCAGGTGCGTTCACCTGACCCATTCTCTGCCATGCCAGTCTGCCATCCCACCTCTAGCTCAGCCAGGTGAAGGCCATGGCCCTTGGTGGGGTCTAGAAGCTTCCTCCCACATGATTTTCTGCTTGGTCCTCCTGCAGTAGATTCACTAGATCCATGACATTAAATAAGTTACAATAGAACTTTCAGAATGCAATTAAAACTGCCTAAGAAACATTTCCCCCCTTTAAATTTATTTTAATGAAAGATTGTTTTATAAAACTAATTTGAAGAAAAATTAGTAATCTGACAAGGGGGGATCCCTTTGTGTAAAAAATGTGCATTTTTAAAAGTGAGAGTATAGTTTTCCTATGCTGCTTTAGAAATAACTAATTTACTATTCTTTACACAGCAGGGATTTCTGACCCAGTTACTCTGAGAGTGGTTTTTGAAAACATATCCGAAAAACAAGGCTATTTAGGGCTGTAAATTGTAGAATGCCGCCTTAGTGTGAATTGTTGCTATTATGCAGTAGTCTCTTGTTCTATTAATGTCATCTGGCTCAGTCAGCAATCAGCAATCCCCCCCAAGAATGTTCTAGTGAGCGTTTGGCCCCCTGGGCTGTCAGTGAAGCCAGTACAAAGAGCTCCTGTGATGTGTCTCCTGCTCCCTCCCGCAGCGGCTTCACCATTGAACTGGCTTCAGCTTTCACTGTGGTGATGGCCTCCAACATCGGACTTCCCGTCAGCACCACCCACTGCAAGGTAGGCCCCCCGCCAGCGCCGCCTTTCATCAAGCTGCCGGGGTCACTCGCAGGCGCCAAGGGAATCTGAGCGAAGCTGGCGGCACTGTGTCTGTGGGCCTTTGCTTTCTCACACTGTGCCTCGAGCCTTTCCTGTGCAGCTGAGACCCACTCGGGCACAACTCTCCTGCCGCTTCCGTGATAAGAGCCTTCTGGCCCTCTCGGTGTGCTTCACACTTTGCTTTGTTTGCGTTGAAGTCCTGAGTTCTGTAGCCATGCTCATAGGCTCAGAGGGGGATTTCACTCAGTTCCAGCCCACTGCAGGAGCCCAGGAGTTGACAGTGGGAGTAAAAATCAGCAGAAATCATCTCACTGGAATTGTAGGACACGGTCGTTTCCGTTTATTCTCCTCTATGGCAGTGGGCAGAATAACTGCATTGCCTTAAGTTCCAATGGGAAATAACTCCTAATATTGATTGCAACTGTGACCAGAACTTCCTTGGGGTTGTGTGAGGGGAGTGTTCCTTGACTGAGGTGGAAGATTATGTTGGGATATTAAGAAGTAAGGAAAGAGAAACAGGATACGAGTTTCAGGGGGTTACTGGAAGCTGCCCTGGATGGAGCTAGGTCTGCCCAATGTCCATAGAGTTTGGAAATCTCCATAGGCAGTGTCTTGAACACAAAACACTGACTTCAGCAGAACTGATATCACTGATATCCAGGGTATTCATTCATTTGGTTGTCACAGGAAAGCTCATTTCTACCTGCTTAGTTTCACTCAGGCCACAGCAGCCCCCAGGCAGACTCCCGCCCTCAACACCCCCCCCCCCCCCCCCCGCAGCTGAACTGCTCCATCCATGTGTCGCTGAGCAAACACCTCACTTGGAGTGGCATTGCGCTTCAAATATCAAGTCCAGACAGTGGAATAGGGGAATATTTTGAGTGGGTCAGCATGTCGAAACAATGCTAGAACTCCAATGTTAGATGACATGGAAAATTGTAGAGGGTGTTTTTATTTTTGGTTTTTCCTCTTTGACTAATATATATATATATATATATATATGTATATATATGAAAGCCTCCATTTTCCAAAGTTGTATTGTGGAAATCATAGTATAGTAGGTAGGGTGCTTGCCTTGCATGCAGAGACCCAGGTTTATTTTCAAATACTCCATATTGTTCTACCCCCACCTTCCCAGGAGCACTTATGAGTGCAGTCAGGAGTAACCCCCTGCACAGATGGGTCTTGCCTTTAAAAAAAATCTATAAAGTGCCAGAAAACTGTGCTACTCTGCTTGGTCTTTTTTTTTTTTTTTTTTTTTTTTTTTGGCCATGCCAGAGGTACTCAGGAGTTACTTCTGGCTCTGCTCTCAGGAATTACTCCTGGCAGGGCTCTGGAAACCATATGGGATACTGAGGATCAAATCTGGGTTGGCCAAGTACAAGGCAAATGCCCTACTGCTATACTATTGCTCAGGCCCTGCTTGGTGCTTTTTAATTTGCATTTAATCCTTCTAGCAATCATGTGAAATCAGTATCCTCATTCCCAGTTTACAGATGATAAAGCTGAGGCTTATTGTTAGGTCACTTTCCTGAGGCCGTACTTTAAGTATGTGATAGAAGGGAATTCAGACCTTCACCTCAGACAAGGTTCCTTTCCATCTTAGCCATAAAGATAATGGGGTGAACAACAACCACAACTCAGATATGTGGGCAGTAGATTTGGCTGTCACCCTGTTAAGAGTGTTGTGAACAAGAACTCACTTAATCTCCCACGAACACTAGGAAGTAAGAACTCTTGTCCTCTGGTTTTACCAGTCAGGGAGTCGGGGGTCTCACACATAGAAAGGCTAAATGGCTCACCCACGATTTCAGAGAGAGTAGCCAGTCTACAGGCAGGACCCACTGTTTTCTGTCTCCACTACACCCTCTAGGTGCAGAGAAAGAAGCGGGGAAGTCAGCAGGGCCTCACTCATCATTCACCCAATGTTATACTCTTTTTTTGGTTTTGTTTTTGGGCCTCACCCGACTGTGCTCAAGGATCACTCCTGGCTGGGCTGGGGACCATATGGGGTGCCAGAGATCAAGCCAGCTTTAGCCATGTGCAGAGTGCTGTATTATCTCTCAGGCCTCTCAATGTTACATTTTTAATTCCAGTTGTTTAAAAATTATATAAGAAGCACATGTCTATCTTTCACCACCACAGAACTGTATGTAGTGAGAAGTATCTCCCCTTCTTTGCATGGTGACCAGCAGGTGGGTGTGGGTGAGAGTTCCTTACCCACAATATGTATTGCTAAATACATATTCAGTAGATTCTTGCTCTATTAATGTCATCTGGTCCAGTCAGCAATCAACAATCCCCACTCCCTCAAGAATGTTCTGATGAGAGTTTGGTCTCCCTGGTGTGTCAGACCAGTACAGAGTGCACCTTGGGAAGGACTATAGTTAGCAATACCTGTTTCTTCTTTCCCTGTTTTAGCTCAAGCTCCTTTACTATGTAAAACCATTTTAATTTGATCCCACTCATTTGCTTGTTTGTGTCTTTACCTCTGGAGTGAAATCACTGAAGAGACCTGTGAGGTCCATTTTCTGGAGTGTTCTGCCTGCTTCCCACAGTATATTTTATGGATTCTGGCCTAATCTGAGTCTTTAATCCTCACTGAATAAACATTCATAATAGTGTGAGCTTTTGGTTCCAGTTCCAGCTTTTTATAAGTACAGTTTTTCCAATACCATTTGTTAAAGAAACTTTCCTTGTTCCTTCCATTTCATGTATATCACTCCTTTGCCATAGATTAACTTTCCATAAATCTGAGGGCTATCAGTTCCCTTCTATTGGCCTGCTAGTCTGTTTTTTGTTTTGTTTTGAGGCCACACCCAGAAACTCAAGGCTTACTCATGGCTCTGTGCTCAGGGATCACTCCTGGTGGTACTCAGGGGACCATGTGGAGGACTGTGATTGGACCCAGGTCAGCTGTGTGCAAGGCCAGACCTTGCCCACTTATACCGTCACTCCAGCCCCTCTGTCTTTATTTCAGTACCATTCAGTTTTGATTAGTAATTATAGGCTTACAGTACAAATTAAAGTCTGGAAGTGCAATACCTCCCATCTTTCTTTTTCTTAGAATTGATTTGGATATTCTGGAAGTTTTATGATTTCATATAAATTTAGTAGATTGGCTCTAAGTCCTTAAAGAATGTCTTTGGAATTTTAATGGGGCTTGTATTGATCCTGTATCATGGTCATTTTAGCAGTGTTAATCCTTACAATCTATGAGCATAGAATTTTTTTCCCCATTTCTTGGTGTTCTCTTCTATTTATTTCATTAGTGACATAGTTTTTGCCATATAAATCTCTCTCATCCTTTATTAACTTGATTCCTAGCTATTTGATGTTTTGGGACACTTTTAAATAAGGTTGTATTTTTATTTTGCTTCAAGTTCATTGTTTTATAAAGAAATCTCACTGTTTTTTCATGTTTATTTTGTAACTATCTTTCTGTAATAGTTTATTGTTCTTATGATTTTTTGGTGGAGTTTTTAAGTTGTATGTCATGTCATTTGCAAATAGTGATAGTTTTAACTCCTTTTTAAATTTTGATCTCTTTGATTTATTTTTCTTGTCTGATTTCTGTGGTAAGAACTGCCAAAACTATATTGAATATGGGGCAGGAGAGATAGTACAGCACGTAGGGCACTTGCCTTGTACGCAGCCAACCCAGTTCAATCCCTATATCACATACGGTCCCTTGGGCACCACCAGGAGTGATCCTTGAGCACAGGGCCAAGATTAAGCCTTGAGCATAGTAGGTGTGACCCAAGAGCCATCAGTAAAAGTAAAGAAAGTGGACACCCTTGCTGTGGTTGATCTCAGGGGGAAGGCTTTCAGTTCTTCACTATTTGCTTGATATTGACTGTGGTCTTGTAAATGGTAGTTAATATTTTTAGGTTTGTTCCCTCTGTTGCTACTTTTTTAGGTTTTTTTTAATCATAAATGGATATTGAATATTGTCAAAACCACATCAATTGATATGATCTTTATCTTGCTTTTTATTGATATGGCATATTGTATTAACTGAATTGCATCCATTGGCCCACCATTGCGTTCCTGGAATGAAACCCACTTGATTATGGGGTGTGATCCTTTTGACATATTGTTAGATTCAGTTCTCTAAGATTTTATTGAGGCTCTTTGCATTGATATTCGTCAGGGATATCAGTATAGTTTTCTTTCTAGCAATAGCTCTGCTTTGCTATTAAGATAATAATGTTAACTTTGTAGAAGCTGTTAGGAAGAAATCATGTTTCTTCAATATTTTGAAAAAGCTTGTGAGTATAGGCACTGTCTTCTTTGAAATTTTGGTAGAACTAGCTAGTGAACTCATCTGAACCAGGACTTTTTGTTCTTTTAAAAAAAATAAATAAGGACTTCTTTATTATATTCAATTTGGGGAACACACCTAGCAATGCTCAGGGGTTACTCCTGGCTCTGCATTCTGAAGTCACTCCTGGTGGTGCTCAGGGGACCAAATGGAATTTAACACGGGTCAGCCACATGCAAGAAAAATGCCTTACCCACTGTCCTATCTCTCTGGCCCCAAGGACTTTTTGTTCTTGAGAAAAAAAAATTAGTTGCAATTTCATGTCAAGTTTATTAACTCCCAGTCAGAAATTAAACCTTATGGTTCTCAGTAGAAGGTGAAAACCACATCACAGAAGAGATCCAACTGGGTTTCATGAAGTTATAGTCTTCTAGGAAGAACACAATGACCTGCGCTATGAATATTCATTGACAACCTGCATATCCTTTCAGTGGTTCTCAACTTTCATTTTATTTTGAAGTGCCATGATTTATAATACTATTAATGATAGTGTTCATGTGCACATTTCCCAACACCCCCCAATATAGTTTTCATTTCCTTGCACCATCATCTCAGAGCCCTTGTTTGGGAAATTCTTAATTTCTGTTTCAATTTCCTTACTCATTACTGGTCTGTGTAAGTTAATAGTGGGTTTTCA